TGGGAATTGACATGTAGTTCTTAGTAGTAGTAGGACTACTTCTGAAAGAGTAAGGCAGAAAAAGGAATTTACATAGGAAATACCATATGGTTTCTACTGGGACCTTTTATTAGCAACATTTAATTAGCATAGTACCCAGTACACAGTAAGTGCTCTATAAATATTTTCTGAATGAAAAAACATAAGTCTACAATTAGCAAGTAATCAAGCCTACATGAAAATTTTTTTCACAAAATCTTGGTGATGGATAAAACCTACTCTCTAAAACTTTGGAGGATAACGGTAAGGAAAGCTTTAATATCAGATAGTCTTAAATGTTAAGTGCAGACTATCATTTCTTAGCGGTATGACAGTGGTTTACATCACTAAACCTCTCTGAGCTTCAATTTCCTAATCCATACAATGGAGCTAATAATTAAATATTATTTATGGCTTGATTTTGAAGATTTGCAATAATGTTTATAAAGAGTTTGACACACACACTACTCAGTAGTGATTATTATAATGAAGGGAAATGCAGATTCTCATCAGCAAGTTAATCCTTTTGTCCCAGAAATGGGAAGGCCCTCCCAAAACTGGCCAAGGTCAGGGCTGACATCAGCCAAGGTAGGGAACATTCTCATTTTCACATTCAAAGTCAAGAAAATGGTACAGATCTAAAGTAGAAAGGAACCAGCAGCACATGTTTTTAAATATTCATAAGGGCTGGAAATGTCTTACTCCTTTCGTTTTCTCTGCCATCTGCTTTTGTTTCTTTTCTTTTCATTCTTATGCCACAGCTGCAAATGAAAACAACCATACAATAACTCAAGTTAAATAAAAAAAAAAATCAAAATAAAAACAATCTGAGGGGTAAAAAGAAAAGATGAATTATAAAGTTTTTCCCTGAGCTCACAAAGCAGCAGAAACAAGAATATTTGATGTGAGTTAAACCTTCTGGAAACCAAAATTCATGTTCTGCGTTTATAATAACCATGATAAGAGCAACCACCATTTACTAAATGGCCCATGTGCCACTTGATGACCAACATCACTAATTCTAAAGCCACTCTTCAAAGTAGGTAAATTAAACCCACTTTACAGAAAAAGATTTTGCAGGTCAAAGAGATAAAATAGATTCTTAATGGTTACATAGCTAATAAGAGATGAAATTGAAATTTGAATCCAGATCTGTCTGAATCCAAAGCCCAGGGTATGCTCTACCACATACCCCTCTCCAAAAATGGGAAGGGATTTGAAAAATATAATTTGGGAATTTTTTGGGGAAGATCATTTGTACTAAACTGATTTATTCAGATAATTAAAATCTGTGATTATACCCCTAATTAGAGTTAACTCAGATAATTGGTTGCTGTATTTGTGAATGTGCAATTAGAGTCTTCCACATAATTGTGGGGTTTTAGGCATCATACTTTCCATTTATTCACTGCATCCCATAGCTTTGCTCTACTGGCCTCTGTTCTACCCAAGGCTGCATTCTAGCTCTTCGGCCCAAGAACCATGACTTGTGATACCAACAGCAGGATCTGGACTCAGCCACATTTAACATGTCTTTGTCCAGAAGTCAATGAACACCTCATCTTCAAGTGCAATGTAAAAAGCTCTCACAGCCTACACTGTTGTCCTGAAAACCCCTAGCAGCATGTACCTGAAGAAAAACTGGCAGCAGTGGTCCTCATGTGTTAATTACACTTTCGAAGTCTATTATGCATAGCAAGGGCACCTGCTGGCAGTGAAAATGACTAGAATCTACCCTTCCTGTGCAGTGAGTAAATTGAGAGTTCATTTCTACAGGAGATAATAGTTTTCAGATTCCATTTCGTGTATCCCCTGCATGGGGACGTACTTAACATTTAAATCATCTGCAGAGGAACAAACCTCCTTCAAATTTACATGTTTCAAGCTCCTAGCACTTTACTTAAAATGCTAGTTATCCCTGCTGGCTCTTACCACCAAGGATTAAACTCAACAGTGGTGAAAGTCACCGAGCACAATAGCATAAAGTTATTAGCATTGACTCAAATTTCATGACATTTGTGGTTTCTGACCAAAGCAGTTGGTAGCAGGCTGAAGGTGATCAAATCAAGCCTTGAATGGAAGATCTGTTTTAACTCTTAGGGTCTTTTATTTCCTCATTCTTACATCTTGTAGTTAATAAACAGATACCAATCTCCAATGGCCTATAATCATCCTTTGGTCGAATGTCAAAAAAGTTCTTTTGTGCAAACAAGAGGCAAGGAGAGGGACTGCTATCATATACACAGAAACCTCCAAGATGGAGCCTAATCACAAAACCCACTCAGGCTCTGAAAAATTCAAGTCTTAGCTTTGATTTTGCTTTTTTTTTTTTTTTTTGAGTGGAAGTTTGGGTTGACAAGGGTTTAGTAGCCTTCACTGTCAAGTCTTCTCTTCTAAGGTAGACCTGACAGCATCATCCTCTGGATCAGGCTAGTGACACAGTTCATGAGGGGGCTGGCGTTAGAGAGGAAGTTGAAAAGAGGATCTCGAATCACCTTCCACAGAAAAAAGCAAACCAGCCAATAAATCCTTGAAGCAGATAAGAAAGGAGGGCTGGAAAGAACAACTGGCTAGAATAAATACTTATTTTTTTAAGTGAAAAATTTCAATTATAGAAACCATACTTTTTCATTGTAGAAACAGAATAAAACAAAATAAAATAAAAATCACACCGAGTTCCTCTCCCTTCTCCCCCTCACAAATCCCTGCTAACACTGTGGTGTATTTCCTCTTAGACTTCTGTTGTACCTGTGTGTGTACATGTATACACATATACATACATCTACATATGTATACACACATTTTTGTGTTTCATATACACATATAATGTTTGTTGTTATAAAAATGGAATCATACAGTACATGGTATCTATATTGGAACCAGTTACTAAACCTCTTGGGGCCTTGGTTTACCGATCTGTGAAATGGAACTAATAATAATACCCACCTCACAGGGTTGCTAGAAGAATTAAGTGCGATCACAGACTGGGGCATAGGAGATGCTCAACACTGGAAGCTATTGTTAGCACTGTAAGGGACAAAGCCTTCTTTTCTGCACAGTTCGGGGAATGTAAGCTGCTAGTTTTAAGCTAGCTGACAATTCAGTAACCAAAGCTTTCAATCAAAATAATAGAAAAATAAAGTTGTACTATTTCGGAGACAGAGGCACTACTATGACTCTGTCAGGTCCTACCAACACCTGCACACAGAAGCCCACTGGAGCTCCTATCTGAAGCTCAGTATCAAGATACATAGGTGAGTCTCCTCCAGGGAGAACTCTTAAAAGGTTTCCTTTTTTTTTTAAAAAAGGTTTTCTCTTTAAAGTACATGTCTGGGGTGAGGTGTGCGGGGGTGGGTGGGGTCTCTTGATAGGGGGATCAAAGACATGTGCACAGGGAATGGACCTGTGTCAGTGTGTGTGTGTGTGTGTGTGTGTGTGAGAGGGGGGTAGGGGCCACATGTCCGTGTGTGGGGTAGGTGTCTATGAGAGTGTTCTACGTTGTGGCGGGGATGGCAGAGGGCTTCTATGAGCTAAGGGGACTGGGAATCACTGTGTGAGTCTGTCTTAGGGAACTTATGTCCCCTTTTCCTTCTATTCCTCTCACTATCCTCCTTCATCTTTGTCCTCTTTCCCCCTCTAACTCCCCTCTCTTCTTCTTGTCTGAGTTTCAGTGTCCTCCTCTCTTCAGCCCCCTAGCATTTCATTCAAACAACAAACACTACTGGAGAACAAACATGGTCCTCTCCTTTGAGACCTGTGGCAGTATGGAAAAAACAAACATAGTTGATTTAGAAGCTCGAAAGGAAGCAGCAAGTCTAAGCAAAGGAATGGGCCCTTAATTTCATAAGAAATGGGAGAAAGGTCCAGCTAAAAACAGCTACCTTGATAAGAAAGATACATAACTGAGAGAGAAATGAGCCAATTCACTTAGTGCTATGCACTGGAGAGTGCCATTGATTTGTACCTGATGGCCCGGAGCTCCACCTTGGTTGTACACATGGCTTCTTTGGATGAGAGTGAGCTCAACACATTCAAAATCGGAGTACTGCAGAACACAGTTAAGCTCTCAGACAATCTGGCCACTTCAGTGTACCTTTTCAGTGACATGACAGGATTGCAAAATGGGCTGGAAGAACCCAGCAAAAATTGTGACTAACCTGATGGTAAATGTCCTAAAATCATCTGTTCTTGAATGACAGGGCTGTGACCCTCTATAGATCCCTTTCTCCTGAAGCTCTTAATTTCTGGCAGGCAGTACCTTTTCCTCCATACTTCCATTGCTCCCTTATCAATGTCTGCTGACTTGAGCTGTCTGGAGACAATGTCTTTAATCACATTACGCTAGAGAAAGAATTATTCAGAAGGAAAACAGATCCAAATTCATTACACAGACAATCTTTATATATTATATATGGAACAATTTCATTTTGCAGATGAGGAAACAAAGTCTTAAGCCAAGTGACTTGCCCATGGTGGTAGAGCTGACTCTAAAGCCTGACTCCTTTCTTCCTGACACTAAAATACATTTCCCCGAACACTGAAACTCCTATCAAAAAACTGCAGAAGGTTTTGAAGTGTGGCTTATGCTCCCAAACCAAGCACAGCTGAAAATGAGTCCTACAGAATGTGCCAGGGTATGGATGAAACTTCAAGACCCTGGGGACCACAACTATTCTTCTCACCAGTCTCCGACTCATCTTGGGGGTGGGTGGGGGTAGAAATCACACCTCTACGTGGTACTTCAGTCTCTCCAAAGCTAGAAATACAAAAAGATCTACTGCCTTGAACTCTTAAGAATGCCACAGCATAGTCGAAAGCAGTTTAGAAACAAAAGGGCCATGCAATCACGTGGTCTAAAATTCACATCATTTTGAAGTTAGTATTTTTAGTTTAGTCACAATTGCATTACAGGTTATAGGCCTAACATCTTTGTCAGTTCCTGTAAGAGGAAGAACAGAGGACAGGGTGAGCAGCAGCCTTACCAGCAGTAGTCCAACAGGTGTGGGGGCAGGACAGGGATGTACACGTGCTGCCAGAACATGGGGTAGAGCATCGCGGCAGACCCGTGGATGCAAGCAGTCAACTGCAACAGAAGCAAATCACAGACCCAGAGCTAAAACACCAAATGAGAAGACGTTGTCATTGAAGTTGAAAACAATTAAATACGTACTTCGTGACATATTTAAAATTATAACTCAATCACTCGAATTCAAATTTAGTAAGAGCTTGCTTTTCAAAAGAAAATCTTCCTCCCCATCTTGATGATGAAGCTAATGCACAATGAAATTTTTAAAAGTTTTTAAAAATGGAAAAACAGATAAAAGAAAATAAAAGCCTTCGCCACCTGGAAATAACTTGACATTCTGAGGTATTACAAACAAAACACTTTTATGTTCTTTTCTAATAAAATTAGAATTACTGTAAATGCAGTATTCATTTGCCTTCTTTTACAGTTAATGTTTATTTGTTGGCATTTTCCCACATCCTTAAATATTCTTAGAAAACATATCTTTTAAGGATACTCAATGAATTTCCCACACTATATTTATTTTTTTTAATCTTTATTTATTTATGATAGTCACACAGAGAGAGAGAGAAAGAGAGAGAGAGAGAGAGAGAGAGAGAGAGAGAGGCAGAGACACAGGCAGAGGGAGAAGCAGGCTCCATGCACCGGGAGCCCGATGCGGGATTCGATCCCGGGTCTCCAGGATCGCGCCCTGGGCCAAAGGCAGGCGCCAAACCACTGCGCCACCCAGGGATCCCTCCCACGCTATATTTAACCACTTTCCCACTATTACTTTATATAATCAGATCATGTCAATTAATTTTTATACAAGGTTCCTAGATGTAAGATTCAGAAACAAAGGTTATAAATATTTTAAGGCACTTAATAACTATAGTTTAAATATAATAAAACTATTAATATAATAAAGGATGGAAGCTCTTTACACTCCCTCAGCCATGCACTAGAATGTCTTCTCCATATCTCACCTGTGCTAAGAACTATAGTCAAGTTAGAAGCTTTGAAAGTGTCTCTATCTGGATTTTATTTTTAATCCTCCGATCATGACTAACGCTTAACATCTTGTCATGTTTCTTGATTATATTTCTTGGGTAAATGGTCTATTCACTTTCTTAATCCAGTAACGAGTGTTAGGATTTTCAAAAGTGATTTACAAGCGAACAATGGATATACGAAGAATAGTAATCCTTGTAATGTTTCTGAAAATAACTTCCCCTTCTGTAGTTTCCTTTGAATTTTGGGGGAAAGAGAAGGTTTAAATAATTTCACAGACAAATCTTTTCCTTCATGATGGTTTCTACTGCTGTTATACTACAAAAGTCCTCAAATTCTTCCCCAGCATTTAACTCTTTAATCCATCTGGAATTAATTTAGGTTTAAGGATGGAGGTGAGAATTTATTTTTCCACATAGTTAATCAATTGCCCCAGCACTGTTTACTGACTAATCCTTCCTCTCCTTCTTTTGATATGCCCCTATTTCATATTCCTTCTTTCTCTTAAGAGCTAGACACATCACATTAGGATTTGATATAATTTAAAAATTAAGGACAAAGATATAATGGGAATAAAATTGCTACAAAATTCAATATAGTGAAAGAAGGAAAAAACCCAACACCTTTGGAGATATGGCTCTGAAGTGACAAAAGCCAACAACACATGTTTCTTTCTGCCTTTTTTCTTTAATGTTTTTTTGGTTTCTGGGAAGCCTGTTCCCAGGAGGACTTTGCTTCTTTTGGAAGCTGTTAACTGGCCTTTGCTGACAGAAGGACATTTACGTGGCCAAAGAGTGACGTGCCAAGGCCCAGTTAAAAGAATCCCAGAGGTTAGTGTAACATGAACAGCTTTAAATTGGATATTCTGCTGATGTTTCACAGTTGTGAGAGCTGTGTATTAAATCCAGGGCCGCTACTTTCTTCCCCCCCTCCTTTTCCCTCCAGACCCTGTTCTTTAAATCAGGTACATGTCATGAACAGGAGCTGATCCAGCAAGCTCTCAAGAGCTGTTCCCAGTGACTCTGCCAAGCCTTGTAGGTTTAATCCATTCCTTCTCAACCCATTTCAGTAGGATTCCATATAGAGACTGCCATATTTTACATGAGTAATATCTTTAGAGTTAGAAGAGATAAAAAAATCTTTGGTGTCAAATGAGTGGAAAATGAACAAACTTCACTCCAACTGCACCCTAAAGTCAGGCTGGAGGGTGACCCTGGCTTTGGACCCCAGCTCTTCCTGCCCATCCTTTAACTAGCTGCCAAAGTACTCACACTAACGTACAGGTCCAGTCATGTAACATCCTACTCAAAAGTCTTTGGGGGCATGTCTGGAGCAGGCGTGTCTTCCCCAGCTTCCAGTCTACCTGTAGAGTAGCATCTCCAGCCACAGTCTCTATTGGCTTCTCCAGGTTTATCCTTTGAATAAATCACTTCAAACTTAAGAGTAGCTATGTGCTCCTTTCCTGGATCTGTGCCCCTAGCAAACTCCTGCTTTGGGTCTCTGTGAAAGGACTACTTTCTTCACATGGCTCTTCTGGGCACACGTTCCTATTATTCATGGGGTTATACCGGTCTGCATGTTTGTCCTCTCAATGGAAAGTACAGAAAGACCCTGTCTCTCTTCCTCTCTACGTTCTTAGTGGCAGAGTAAGTGCGAGTTAATGCAATGATTCCTCCATAAACAGAAGACAATTCCAACTTAATATATATTCACAACATAAAGACTGTTAGTGGCCTGGCTTTTAACTATTGGGCCAACATTTTCATGAGTCTCACAGCATGTGGTATATGACTCAAATTCCAAAACAATAATGGCAAGCTTAGACACAAATACACCACTTTTGGGAAACCATGTCTGTGGACTCATTCATTCAATAATATGCCTATTCTATAACTCTACAACACATCAAATAAGTAAGTAAAAGCACTTTAAAATCTATAGGATGCCATACAAATATAAGATGTCCTCATTAGATGAGCTCATTTGTAATTCTCTTTCGAAAAGTCATTCAGTAGAATATTCCTGGTTGAGATTTCATTATTTCCCCTCTTTTTATCTTAAATTGGTTTGAGTCAAAATCCTATTTCAAGAAATAAAGTTGCAGAGATCATATCTCCAGATAATGTTCTTTTAGGTCTCCTTTCCCCCCCAAAAACCCTAAAAGCTAAATGCCAAGATTTGGGCAGCCCTGGTGGCTCAGCGGTTTAGTGCTGCCTTCAGCCCAGGGCCTGATCCTGGAGACCAGGGATCGAGTCCCATGTCAGGCTCCCTACATGGCGCCTGATTCTCCCTTTGCCTGTGTCTCTGCCCACCCCCCAACCCCCCACCCCCGTGTGTGTGTGTGTGTGTGTGTGTGTCTCATGAATAAATAAAATCTTTAAAAAAAAAATAAATGCCAAGATTTTAAAATTACCTATCCCTCATAAAAAAATCGAACTTTAAAGGTGCTTGATCATGATTCTCATTGGGGGTTTTCTAAAGGCCAAATCTCTGTAATTGAAGTAAAATGCATTTACCCATTTGGTTAAGAAAACAAACAAACAAAATAGAGAACTGTTTGGCTTTTTTGCAAAATGCAAAGTGGCAAAACAATGTACATCATTACTTAGGAATAGTGGTGAGTCAACCATAAAAAAAGTGTTATGATTTATCTGTGCTTAATAAGAAATAATATTATATCCCACAAATTATCATTAGCCACTTATTTTAAAAACAACTCTAAGGCCAACTCCACTTGTAAAAATAAGGCTCCTAAAGGCCTAGGCTCACTGCTTATAGAATACAAAATTTTAAAGTAATGAAAGTATACAATTTGGATTATAGTCAACAAAGGGGTATTGTGAATATATAATTGAAGTACAAGTTGAAGAAAATGATCCTATCAAAATCTCACTCAGTGGGAGCATAGAACGATAGTATGTGTAAAATTTGCCCAAAGTCATTAGTCACAATGAATATTCATCAGAAGCCAATTATCAATCCCATTTAATGACACCCCAAAAGATTTTGCCCTGAAGCAGCTGAATAGTCTAAGACTCCAGACAAAACTAGACAAATTATACAGCCAACAGCCAGTCTAGCCAGGACACAGATTGTAAAGTAAACCACTGGTGGGTTTCTAGACGCACTTGGAGCAAATTCTGTCCTGAATTAAAGGTGCACAAGGTCAGTTCTATCTTGGAGCTTTCTGTATGGCTCCATTAGTTTCCTTTGAGGCAAAGGGAGAGAAAGAAAGAAGACAGCGGGAATAGGATAGAGAGAGTGCTCAATGATAGAACTGGAAAAAAAAAAATCACAAAGACATTGTGTGTATGTGTGTGTATTTTTTCCTAGTTTAAGGTATTTCTCAGATATAATGCCCAGATAGCCACAGTCTTAGATTCCAATTCCTTGGTTGATTCCTAATGGTAGCTCTGCAGTTTAACAAGAAACAAAGACTCTCCCCCAAACAAACAAAAGGAATCCTCACAGTATATGCACCAGACATCATTTGAGGGGTTTAGGATAATGCAAAGTATTGTTTTAAAAGTGTGCATGTTTATATATATATATATACACACTCATCACCACATTTCACAGATACAGAAACAGTCTCAAAGGTGAAATAACTTGCCTAAAGCCACACAGTTTGTAAGTGACAGAACTGGGACTCACATCCAGGTCTGTTGGACTATAATGGCCACTGTGTTTCCAAAATGCATAAACTAACTAAAAAAATTTTTGACTGCATACCCTGTGCCTATATACTGTGCTGAGGAATCTGAACTAGGTGAGACACTGTTCCTATCAGCATGGTCAAATTACATAGAAATGCATTTGTCTTGCTCTTAGAGGACAAAATATCCAGGGTAAAATACCAGTGAATAGAAAATAATCATTCTTAAAACAAACACAGATCTGATAATTTCCTGGGGGTTACTTACACTTAATTGGGTATTGTATTGTCCTTAATCCAATGGAAATTCGAGACAATGGCATAATGATTGTTGGTCAAAGAGAAAGGCTTACAACCAATCTGGCACACCTATCTCAAAGTATGGCTTTCTGTCATGTTTCCTTTCATATAC